CGACCTCCACCTCCCAGGTTTGAGTGATTCTTCTGCCTCAGCTTCCCAAGTAACTGGGATTACAGGCATGGATCATCATGTCCGGCTGATTTGTGTAATTTTAGTGGAGATGGGGTTTCACCATGTTGGTCAGGCTAGTCTTGAACTTCTGACCTCAGGTGATCCACTAGCCTCTGCCTCCCAAAGTGCTGGGATTACAGGTGTGAGTCACCGTGCCTGGCCCACATCTGGTTAATTTTTAAATTTTTTGTAGAGACGAGGTCTCACCATCTTGCCCAGGCTGGTTTGGAACTCCTGGACTCAAATGGTCCTCCCACTTTGGCCTCCCATAGTGTTGTGATTACAGGCATGAGCACTCTGCCCAGCCCTCTTGGACATCTTATAGACACCAAAGCTCAACAGGTCCCAAACTGAGCCCCTCCTGCTACAGCCTGGTTCCCATCCATTGCTCCCTACTTCAGCTGCAGGCACCATTCTCCATCCACTAGCTGCTCTGCTCTCTTCTCCTTCCTTCTCGGCCTGACTTCCTAAACCCATTTCCTACTCCGCTTGTCTCCAAGTCCACAGCTCCACTTCTCAACCCATGGCAGCGTGGCCTGAAAGAAAGCAGCTAGTCCACGCCTGCAAGATTTGTGTCATCCTTGACATCCCTCCCTGAGGATCTAACCCATTATGGAGCAGAGCTGACTCCGCCTCCAGAGAGTACCCAGATTTTCCATTTCCTCTCACCATCCTCACTGTGCACACTTGGTCCTGGCCACTGTCAGTTCTTTACAAAGTGACACTAAACTCCACTGGTCTCCTGGAATCTGATCTTGCTCCTTGACAACTGTTCACTACCTAAAGCCAGATGCCCTGCAGATGCTACCTCCTCCCTTTGATGCCTCCTCTGCCGTGTGTGTGTGTGTGTGTGTGTGTGTGTGTGTGCACACCCTCAATGTGGCCTTCAAGGGCCGTCACAGTCTAGCCCCTGCTGCCCTGCCTCCATCCCATCTCTCACCCCTCTCATTTCCAAGCTCTGCTCCAGGCACATTAGAAACGGCCACACACGTGGATCACAAGGTCAAGAGATTGAGACCATCCTGGCCAACATGGTGAAACCCCGTCTCTACTAAAAAATACAAAAATTAGCTGGGCGTGGTGGTGTGTGGCTGTAGTCCCAGCTACTCGGGAGGCTGAGGCAGAATTGCTTGAACCCGGGACAGGGAGGTTGCAGTGAGCCGAGATCGCGCCATTGCACTCCAGCCTGGCACCTGGTGACAAAGCAAGACTGTCTAAAATAATAATAATAATAATAATAATAATAATAAAATAAATGACCACACACTCGTTTAAACTTGGAGTCTTATCTCTTATTCCCCACCTTCCTCACCATCTTCCCCTAATTCACCGCCCCCATCTGAATCTGGCTGACTCCCTTCCCCAGCTGGATGGTCATCAGAATAATTTGGGGAAGATTTTAAGAATCTTGATGCACAGAAAATATCCCAGAATCTCTCAGGGGTGGGACCAAGTCATCAGGATTTGAAATTGATCGATAAGAGAAAATGCAGGGTTGACAACCTGGTTTAGGTCTTAACAACGCTTGTATTATATTAGGTAGCCCTTCCCCCAACCCACGCTTCCCGAAGCTCCTCTCATTCCCTGCCAGACAAACCTGATCTTACTGTGAGGCGTTTCATTCTGGTCCTCCCCACTAGGCTGTAAACCCAGCAAGGGGCAGGACCAACCTGGCCTCTTTTCTGCTCTATCTTCAAGGCCTGAACGATTCACATGAGGCACACAGTCTAGATTTGTTTCATGAATGTGGAAGTCGTTTCCAGGGTGACAGGAGGCTTCCGCACTTTGACCCCCTTCCCTAAACAAAAGCAATGAATACCTCTTTAAAAAACGAACAACAACAAAAAACAGACTAAAATCTCCCATGGCACTTACTCAACAGTAGCTTGCAATTCCACTACTATGATTCATTCCTTTGGATTAAAATGCTTTATCTCATTAAAATGCAAATTCAGCCTGAAAATACACCACCTTAATGGAATTAGTCATTTATACTTTGTCCTCAATGATTTTTATCAGCTCTTAATAGAGGGGCGAGGAGAAGAATCACCACTTATTGAGTGCAGCCTATGCGCCAGGTGTTTCACACCTATTAGCTCATTGAATGAGGTGAAATGAGCTGGTTCTGGAAACACCTGAAGCTCAGAGAGGTTAAGGTAACACAGCTGGTCAATGAGTCATCCCGATTGGAAGTGACGCCTGAGCCTGCGCGCTCTCAGCGCCTGCCTGCCTTGGGAGGAGAGAAAAGGCACAGAGAAGAGAGGGAAAATACACGGAGGACAGGCCTGGGCCTCGGGAGACCAATGGCACTTCCTCCTCCTCCTCCACGTGGCCCAGGATGGTGTTGGACACTGGGACTGGCCGGGGCAGGAGGACTTTGGGAGTGGCACCCTTGAAGGTGCTCATCCTCTCCACATTCAGCCCGTCGTATAAACGGCCCAGTTCTACTGTGGGCACTCTGCCTGAGGACTTACTGTGTGCACCGACGTGGAGATGCTCAGCAAACGCTCTTGGAATGGATGCATGAACAGGAACAGGTAAGCTTCGTCTATCTCACCTCTGAACCAAAGGCTAACAGAGATGCCAGGGATTCCAAAGGCCAGATTTTGTATATGCACTGGTTTAGACTTTGCCAAATGGAGGCACAACAAGTACTTAATTATTTTCATCACACCAACATTAGGGCGGCATAGTGCAGCCAAACTGTGTGGCTCGAGGTTGAGGGCCCTAGGGCAGTCCTAGCTCCTCATCTGGAAGCTGTGGGATCTTTGAGGGACTCAATGTCTTCCAGTCTCAGTGGGGGACACACACCTAACAGGTTGTTTTGAAGCTTCATAAACCCTTCTCAAAGTCTGTTCTCTCCCTCCCTCAGCTGGGAGGTTTTCCCGTCAGCTTCCTCGGCCTCACTCCAGACTCGGTGAGTCAGACCCTTTGAGAGTGTATCTGGGAACTTGCATTTTATTTTATTTTTTTTTATTTTTTGAGTCTAGTTCTGTTGCTCAGGGTGGAGTGCAGTGGTGTGGTCTTGGCTCACTGCAACCTCCACCTCCTGGGTTCAAGTGATTTTCCTGCCTCAGCCTCCCAAGTTGCTGGGATTACAGGTGCGTGCCTGGCTAACTTTCGTATTTTTAGTAGAGATGGGATGTCACCATATTGGCCAAGCTGGTCTCAAACTCCTGACTTCAGGTGATCCACCTGCCTCAGCTTCCCAACGTGCTGGGATTACAAGGGTGAGCCACCACACCTGATGGGAACTTACATTTTAAACAAGCATTCCCCATATCTTTTGGCTTGAGGCTAAAAGACCAGCTACAATCTTGCTATTCATTGTCTGGTCCCTGGACCAGCAGCATTAGCATCACCTGGGAGCTTGAGGTATGCAGTCTCAGGTCCCACCCTGTCCTTGTCAACAAGATGCCTGGGTGACCCCACTTTGAAAAGCATGATTTTCAGAGCCCTCCAGCTCTCCCCAACCTCCTAAAGGAGTGAAGGACTTTTAGCTCAGGAGCAAGCTTTCATTTCATAAGAGGAAGGCTCCCGATGCAGAGGTATGCCTGATGGAAGCTTTGAGGGATATTTCACCAATCAATGCTGGTTGGTGAACAATAGGAACTAAGAGGGCAGAGCAGGACTGAGCATCTAAAGAGGAAGAACCAGCAGAAAAGAGGAAGCTGGGGATGGGGATAGAAGAGAGGACCAGCCCTGCCACAGCCCAGGGGATTTCATGAGTGAGGCTCGCCTCCCCAGTGTTAGACAGTTTGGGGAGGTTTGCTTTTTAACCTGGCAGAATTCCCAAGGGACTTAACCTTGGTGTCTAGACCTCTGAGCAAAGTCAGAGACATTGTGGCTTGTGGCTATTACCCAACAAGGGACTAAATCACACTTATTGTGTAAATACATACATTTGAGATGGAGTCTCACTCCCGTTGCCCAGGCTGGAGTGCAATGGCACGATCTCGGCTCACCACAACCTCTGCCTCCCGGATTCAAGTGATTGTCCTGCCTCAGCCTCCTGAGTAGCTGGGATTACAGGGATGCGCCACCACACCCGACTAATTTTGTATTTTTAGTAGAGACGGGGTTTCTCCATGTTGGTCAGGCTGGTCTTGAACTCCCAATCTCAGGTGATCTGCCCGCCTCAGCCTCCCAAAGTGCTGAGATTACAGGGGTGAGCCACCATGCCCGGCTCTGTGTGTGTGTGTGTGTGTGTGTATTTTATTTACAAATATTTCTGAAAAGCACCCCTGATATTGTAAAGTTTGGTTTTTGTTCATGACATAAGAGAACAACAAAAAAGCTAAAGAGAAAGTTCCCAAGAGAAAGAATACACACAGCCAAATCTCATTTTCCAGTAAAAAATTAACAACAAATGTGGGAACCTATTTTCTATGCACCCTGTTAGATGAGAATCACCTCAGTGAAGGCGAGAAAAATTAGAACATTACGTCGGCTTCATGGCAGCACCCGAAGATGCTTTTGATGATCAGATAAATGTTATTTATGGACACTGAGTCCTAGTTTAAATATACCAGGAAAACTGATGTTTAATGAGCAATTTGGTGTAAAAAGACTCCCTTTTACAAAATGACTGTCAACTCCCCCATTCTCCCTGCAGTTTCTTTTCTTCAGGAGCTTGGATATTTATATATTGCATTTGCTTAAAGCAAGACATCTTTCGCAGCACTGGCGTAGGAGAGCCATGAGCCACTTACTTGATTGCGGGTTCCTTCCCTTCCATGCTGATCATCTGTCCTTCCTATGCCCTCTTCTCTCCCCTAAAGCCTGCAGAAGTTGATTTTAGCCAAGCAGGCCAGTTGCAACCCTGTCACTACCCACAGTAGCCTTGAGCAATTCGGAACATCCCTCCCCAGCCTGCGAGGAGGACCCAGGGGAGAGTGGAAACCCGGGAGCAGGCAGTTACCTCTGCGTGTCCCCATTACCTGCCAGGTACTCAATGACTGCTGCCATGTAGACAGGGGCACCCACGCTGATCCGGTACTTGAACGTCCCTTTCTTCAGATAACGCATCAGCCTCCCCACTGGAAAGATGACACCTGCCCTGGCTGAACGGGACAGCTTGGACATTTTCTTCTTCCCGCTCCGGCCCGACATCTTGCCTCAGTTTCCCTCTCAGCTTGCTGACACAGTGGCCTCCCGGCACTAATATAATGCTGAAAAGGAAAAAAGGAAAGAAGAGAGTTGAGGAAGGGTAGTTGGCAAACACCTTGGGCACAGCGGCATGGCCCTTGGGCACCACTGTGGCACCTCTGACTGCCTCAGGGAGGCGGCTGAAACCTGGCTGCTACTGTAGGTGCAAGAGGCATGGAGTTAGGCCTGGGGTCTCTGAAGGGCATGGGCAAGCCCACCCACAAACATCCCTGCCTCACCAAGGCAGCCCGACCTCACGAGGAGAGGCCACAGAAAACTGCCACTGAATAGAGAGCTCTCGGTCCTGTGGTCAGCTGAACAGTGATTCCCAAAGAGGTCCATTTCCTCATCCCCAGAACCTGTGAATGTTATGTTATGTGACAGAGGCTTTGCAGATGGAAGTAAGCTAAGGGTCTTGAGATGGGGAGATTATCTCGGATAATCTGGTTGGGCCTAACGTAATTGCCAGGGTCCTTAGAAGAGGGATGCAGGGGGTCAGAGTGAGCAGTAAGAGATGTGAGAACAGAGGGAAGAGGATTTTCCCCTCAAAGCTGCCAGAAGGAATTGGTCCTGCTGATACCTTCACGTTAGCCCAGTAAGACTGATTTTGCACTTCCGACCCTGAACTAGAAGGGACTAAATTTGTATTGTTTTAAATCACTAAGTTTGGGGTAATTTGTTCCAGCAACAACAAGAAAACTATTATAATTCCTCTTGGCCTATATGACTTTGCCCATTATAAAGACATACCTGAGACTGAGCAACTTATAAAGAAAAAGAGTTTAATGGACCCACAGTTCCATGTGGCTGGGAAGACCTCACAATCATGGCGGAAAGTAAAAGGCACGTCTTACATTGGTACCAGGCAAGAGAGAGAATGAGACCCAAGCGAGGGGAGACCCCTTATAAAACCATCAAATCTCGTGAGACTTATTCACTACCACAAGAACGGTATGGGGGAAACTGCCCCTGTGGTTCAGTGATCTCCCGTGGGGTCCCTCCCACAACATGTGGGAATTATGGGAGCAACAGTTGAAGATGAGCTTTGGGTGGGGGTACAGGCAAATCATATCAGTCAGGTTTGACAGACATAACTGAGAGCCGATGTATATTTCTCAGATACTTTTCTAACTCCTGCAATAATGTAGCACTCTTAGAAATGGAAACGGGCCAGAAGAGGCAGTTTTACTGAATATGCGTGGCATGCAAACATAGCAGATGAAAAGCCAGAGTGCTGCCTGAGTTTCTGTTCATTGGAATGGGGAATCCAGGCTGATTTTGGGGAGAAACTTCAGAGTCTGTACAAAGAGGTGAATTCAGCACAAGGAACTGAGAGACAAACATTCACTGTTGCTTAAGGAAGCTATCTTGTGTGTGAAGATAAAATAATTACAGATTCCTGGACAGAGTCTTTGTAAGCCCACCCACAGTCTAGAAAATTGTAGTAGAATTTGGGTGGGCTTGATCTGTTGGTTGACAAGAGTATTGTAACTGACAAATGGAATATAATCTTTAGTAAGTAAAAGCAAATTACAAGGGAGAAACGGTCAAGAGCAAAAAAGCAAAGAAAAGGAAAAAGACATTTTCTAGGAAATGTATTAATATATCAAAGGTCCCTTCCTCAAGGGCAATGGCAGTCTCGGGGGCCATTTCCTCTGGAGATGAAAAATGAGAAAGTCAGAAACAGATTGAAACTGGTTCTATCTGTTGATCCTGGTTAGGTCATCATACCAACAGGCGAGATGTATAGGAAAGGAAGGCCCACGAAACTCACTAAAAATATGATGGAAGAAGGTGCTAAATGAATGCTTGGCTAATATGAAATAGACATAAACCAGGATTTACTTAATGAACAGATTTTACTGAACTGATTTCAATTTTCTAAAGCATCTGATAACTCCATTACGACCAAGGAGACTATAACAAGCTCTGAAATTAGCAACAAACCCCCTTTTCAACAGCCACCTATCCCTGAGGTGAATGAGTCAAGTTGGGGCATTTTATTATATACTTCATATACATTATTTAAAATGCTCAAATGTACTTACTGCTCTCTACTCCCCTATTTTATATTTTATATGTCATTTTGCCATCAAAGGATGTAGCTATTCATCAGTTAGGTACAAGCAAAGATGAGAAAAGTGCCTTAGACTATTATCTTTTTGACAGCAAGGTAGAAGGATCAGATCCATGTTGTTTTATCATGTTTCTTCATCTGGAAGAAACAAGGTCTCCCACATTTGCTGTGCTGCTGCTGTCTGTGGCTGCTCACTCTCATACCTCCACTTGCAGAGGTTTTGTCTTTGAGGAAGCAAGCAACTATGTGTTAGGTAAATGTATGGAGCGCCTGCTGTTAGTCAGCACTGTAGCAGGAAAGGGGGAAGAGACAGCAATGCTAAGTGGTTCCTGTCCTCACACAGCACGTGTTTGCTAGCTGGGTTGGGGTGCTCTAAATGGAGGTGGCTCTTGCTATAGTGGAAGGAGCCCAGGACTGGGGAACTGAAGTTCTGAGCATAGCTCCACTTCTACATAACTACTGTCAGGCACCCCACAATGACTGCACATATGATGGTGGTCCCGTAAGGTCCTAATGGAGCTGGAAAATTCCTATGACTTACTGACATCTTTTTTTTTTTTTTTTTTTGAGATAGTGTCTTGCTCTGTTCCCCAGGCTGGTGTGCAGAGGTGCGATCTCGGCTCACTGCAACCTCCGCCTCCCGGGTTCAAGCGATTCTCCTGCCTCAGCCTTCCGCGTAGGTGGGACTATAGAGGGGCACCACCACACCTGGCTATTTTTTATATTTTTACTAGAGATGAGGTTTCACTATGTTAGCCAGGCTGGTCTTGAACTCCTGACCTCACGTGATCCACCATCCTTAGCCTCCCAAAGTGCTGGGATTACAGGTGTGAGCCACTGCACCTGGACAACCTCGTGACATCTTAATGGCGTAGCACAATGCCTTACTCATGTGTTTGTGGTGGCACTGATGTAAACAAACCTGGGCTGCCCGTCATATAAAAAAAGTTTAGCACACATAATTATGTACGGTACATAATACTTGATGACAAATGACTATGTTACTGGTACTCTTTCTACTTATTTAAAACAAAGTTATCGTAAATCAGTCTCAAATGGGTCTTTCAGGAGGTATTCCAGAAGGAGGCATTATTATTACAGGAGACGACAGCTCCGTGGGTGTTACTGTCCCTAAATGCTTTTCAGTGGACAAGACGTGAAGGTGGAAGACAGTGTTATTGATGACCCTGACTCTTTGTAGGCCTAGGCTAATGTTTGTGTGTTTTATTTTTTTTTTAATCAAAAGTTAAAATTTTTTTAACAGAAAAGTGGTTATAGAGTAAGGCTATAAAGAAGGAAAATATGTGTAGCTGTACAGTGCATTTGTGCTTTAAGCTAAGTGTTATTACAAAAGAGTCAAAACGTTTGTAAAGTTTAAAAAGTTTATAAAGTTAAAAAATTACAGTGAGCTAAGGTTAATTTATTATTCAAGAAAAATACTCTCTTTTAGTGTAGCTGGCCGAGCATGGTGGCTCATGCCTGTAATCTCAGCACTTTGGGAGGCTGAGGCAGGCAGATCATGAGGTCAGGAGTTTGAGACCAGCCTGGCCAACATGGTGACACCCAGTCTCTAATAAAAATACAAAGATTAGGTGGGTATGGTGGCAGGTGCCTGTAATCCCTGCTACTTGGGAGGCTGAGGCAGGAGAATCGTTTGAAACCAGGAGGTGGAGATTGCAGTGAGCTGAGATCACGCCATTGTACTCCAGCCTGGGTGACGGGGCAAAACTCCATCTCAAAAAAAAAAAAAATTAGTGTAGCTTACATGTACAGTGTTTATAAAGTCTATAGTAGTGTACAATAATGTCCCAGGCCATCACATTCACTTACCACTCACTCACTGACTCACCCAGAGTACTTCTAGACTTGCAAGCTCTATTCATAGCAAGGGACCTATACATGTGTACTACTGTTTACATTTTCTACTGTATTTTGCTGTGCCTTTTCTAAGTTTAGAGACACAAAAACTTACCATTGTGTTACCATTGCCTGCAGTATTCAGTACAGTAACGTGTTGAGCAGGTTTGCAGCCCAGAAGCACCAGGTCATATGATCATAGCCCAGGTGTGCAGGAGGCTGCGCCATCTAGGTTTCTAGCATTCCATTCTATGCTGTTTGCACAGTGACAAAATCACCTAATGATGCATTTCTCAGAATGTATCCCTGTCGTTAAGTGATGCGTGACTGTAGTTATGTGAGCTTCACATGTATTTGTTTGGGCCTCAGTGGCCTCATCTGTAAAACAGGGGAGGTTGCTAACATCCTTAAAGCCATTCTGCTCTTAAACCACCTGATTTTTCTGACAGGCCCTTTTCCGTGATTTTGGTAGAGAAGCTTACGCTCTTTAAGCAGTCAGTTCTAAAGACTTAAGAGTCTACGAAGGCTCATAAAGGCGCATTAGTGACCCTCCTAAGCCAATTATGTGCTTTTCTCAGTTAATGGTAAGTGGGATTGGAGGATGGTTAGAAAGTCTGGTTGTCAAGAAAACCACCCAAAAAGCCCATCACAGGGTGGACGTGCTCTGTGAATAGGGTGTATGCTGGCTGGTCTTAATTTCTCCCTACCATGTTTCCACCAGAGAATGCTACATGAAGTACAAACACAAGGGCAGGGACACCCCCTGCGTATATATACACACACACACACACACACACACACACATACACATATCCCCACATACACATACTTTTCTCAAACAAAACAGCCAGAGAATGACTAGGTGTGCATGATAAACCCACCTGAGGACTTTCCCACTATTAGCCAAGAGAAGTCACAAATTAGCCTAAAAATTGGAAATTAGGACTAGGAGTAGAAGAAAATCAAGTGACTTAAGGGGATAGATGCCTCAAACATTCATGAAGAGGCTGGGCATGGTGGCTCATGCCTGTAATCCCTGCACTTTGGGAGGCCAAGGCGGGTGGATCACCTGAGGTCAGGAGTGAGAGA